CTACTCTGTCAGGCGAGCGAGCGAGCGATTGCGCGAGCGGATACTTCTGGATTTGCGCGGTCGGAAAAAAAGCGGAAATTGCGTGGTCGAATTGAACAAAGCGAGCGAAAAAAAAGCGATCGAAATCCGGAAGCGGGCGGGAGGCTGGGCGAAATGAGTACTGTAACCCTGTTTATCAATCATGAAAATAAATTTATTTTTTAGTAGGCAGGAAATTTTCTGATCTTGTACAGCAGACTAAGAACACTATCAAATATCTAATAAATCCTTGGCTTTAGCTATATTCTGTAATTACTGCATTGAATTTGGGGGTGAATGTGCAAGTAAAACTATAGTGTCTATGCTTGGATACAGAACATGGACAATATTATGAATTTTACGGTATTGACCACTGTGTTGAATATTCTCTGTAAAATAATTGACTAAAATATATGAATTATATAAACACATCATGGTTGACTTTATTTGGGCAATAGCATACGTCCATTTCCTCTTCCAAGGAATTCTGATTTACCCACAAAATCAGTCCGTTCCCCTTCGCTCTAGATAGGCTGATTTTGTAGGCTACTTAAATGGCTTGGATGTACATAAACATTTAACACTATTTATGTAACTTGTGATTATCAACTCACCGTCTTTAGCACTGTCCGTAGATTCCTGTGCCATGTCAACATTGCTCCCAATCTTCTGTAATTGGTCCTGTAATCCATCAATGCTGTCTTTGATGTCATCTAAGTGCTCTAAGAGAGTTGTATCATTACCTGCAAACAATAACAAAAATACATAATAATAACATAATGCTATAAGTAGACAAGCATTAAAGTGCAGGGTCGTTCATTGGATTAATTTTCAGTTTATTTTCTTACTGGATTGAAAAGACAATGGGAAACCATAGATTAGTTGGTTAAACAAAACAAAAAATAGTATCCCATGATTCCATGGTGCACTCCCAGGGATTGAAGAACCTTGGTTTAAATCAAAACTCAACTGAACATGTAATTTATTTTTGAAAATGTTTCAGTATCAGACACAATACGACAAACTATTTACACACTAATGTTCATAAATTGTTGTAGACTTGTTCTCGTTTGAAAATCAATGTGCAAAGATAATATTATCATGGGGCTGGTCACATAAATGTTTCCTGTCAATAAAAAAGCTGTTTTGTAACTCATTTTAAAATAAATCAATCTACAACCTCATATTCTACAGCTAATGCTGTATCGCATTTACATGTGTTCGTTTTTTTTTAGATTCTGTATGAACATTCAAACTACTAGTATTTAATGACAAAACATGCAATAATAATGAAAATTACCATAAACCATTTCATTTTACCTGCGAGTAATGTTCGCAAAAAAATTAATTAATGACATTTTAAAATTTTTCTTTAGAGCTCAGTGAAATGTGGACTAGATAAAATTTCGGCCACTGTGCAAAAATTTGTCTCCAACGAAATTGAAGCAATTTTACAGTACCGGTAAATATTTTTGTCTGTTTCTATGATCTCTAGTATCACTGGATAAAATATAACATTTCATCAAGTGTTTTAAAGAATTATAACCCTGTAGACATACCTGCAGCCATCTTGGCTTCTTTCAATAATTGATTGATAGTATCGTTAACTTCTTTCAAACGTTTTTCAAAATCTTCATCGTTAATGGCTTCTGGATTGGATCCAATGTTGTCAATCAAGTCTCTGAGTTCGTTGAGTTTCTTTCTATGTTCGTCTACTTTATCCTGCACTAGATCATAACAAGCTGGGCAGGCTGTGAAAAGACATGATGAAATTATTATAATCAGATAAATGTCCATTTTCTATATTTCTGTTTCCATGCTCCGATTCATATACAATGTAGGTGACCGACTCCAATTGATTTCAATCCTTAAAACCCCAAATTCAACTTTTTTTTAAAAATTTGATCAAAACCTAAGCTAATCAGAAATCAAGTCAATTTGCTTTAAAATCAACAAAACTGTCAACCAATGACAGTCGTTAGCAGCTTTTAACATGAGTGAAAACTTGCACAAAATAATCATTTGGTTGTACGCAGAGATTAAAGTTACATCATTTACACAATATTTTGGAGTACATGTCATTCTTTCACTAATCATTTCACAAATTTGAAGCATGTCAAACTAAATCATTTGATCATGTGCAAAATCGGACAACACGAGTAGTGTCTAAGTTACCACCAGAAAAGTTAACACAAGACCCATGCCCCTTATTTATCCACCCTTGAATCCATGTTCAGATACTTACCAATGCATCCTAATGCCAAATTGTATCTATTTTCTGAACACATGTCACATTTCTCACCAATGACACCATCTTTACAAAGACACTGTCCAAAATCATCACACTGTAGGCTTAATGATCCTTGGGGATCGCAGTTACATGCTGCAAACAAAACAGAATAAGTTAGATCCAGGAAATTAAAAGCGTTTGCCAATCAGGCCTGCATTACAGGTGTTAAAACAAGTCCTGTGGTAACAGTTACTGTAAAGGAGTTAATTATTCACTGTGTTTCAATTTTGCTTATTTTGCTGACTGGAAAATGCGCTAAAATTAAAACCGAGTGAATATGTAAAATTTAGCATAGAACACATTATCTAAATGATAAACCCGTGAATTTAAAACCCACTGAATATGCCTAAAAATGGTTAATCAGTGAAATTTAAACCCAGTGAAAATCAGTCATTTTACAGTACTGTAATTGTTCTATTAGAAGTACATCCCCATTAGAAAATACATATAAACCAACAACCGTATTCGTTGTACACTGAATCATCAAAATTTTGACCAGACACACCTCATTATTTAATAAATGTATGCGTTACTAATAGGGCAAATACAGTTATCTGGTCATTATTTACAGCGAAACATGTTAAATGTACAACATAGATTATACTTTATTAATTTTGTAAATGGTAAAGTTGTTGAATAAAATTTTGTAAATAAATAATAAAAGTTGCACTCATGTGGCGATGGCGGAATACTCACCAGAGCAGCCATCTTGCGAGAATCCATAATAATGCGGTAGACAGCGATCACACTTTTCACCGGTAACACCAGGCTGACAAATACAGTTACCAGTGGATATTTCACATTCACCATTCAATGAACCCATATAATTACAATTACATTCGATACATCCGGTACCGCTATCGATATTCCAGTAACCCGGTCGACACTCGCTACAGTTGCGGCCTCTCACATAGGGTTGACAATCACATTGTCCATCTACTGGGTGACACGCTGCTCCTCTGGAACCCGGCAAATAACAATCACAAGCTGTAATGAGAGGAAAATAAAAATAATTGAACATACTAATAAGAATGTATGATATCTCTCTATCTTACTATCATAGTTCAAAGCTGGTGGTCATCATGTTCCATTCGATGTGAGACTCCTAGCAACGTACACGCTGTATGTTTAAAATTCAAATTTGCATTGGCAACCACCGCCCTTTTAACAATCATTCTGATTCTACAATGGCACAGAAACAAAGATTTTCATAATGTTTTTAATCAGCGATCACCAGATGTTAAATACAGACATCCTGCATATTCTACTGTTGGGAGATCAAAAACCCAACTTGATTCTGCAATTGATTGTATGCCAACTTCATAATAATAATTACTTGTGCATCTATCAAATGTTTTTTTGATAAATCAAGAATCAAGAGCAGAAAAAGTCCCTTGTGAATAATCAGTGTTGCATGCAAGTGAGGGTAAATAAACAGCAGGCTTTCAGAATTTATTCACACAAAATTTCAACACTTTATCAGAGAGTCAGTTAGTACCTTTAATTTCAATAATTCTGACCCTAGCACTGTGATTTCAATAGCTTTTTAATTTTTTAATAATGCCAATTTATTATTTCTGTGATAACTCAAAACGTCAAAACAGGAGCAGATGTTTTTCATCCAAGTAGCATTCTGATATTTCAAGAACCTTTTCAAGAATAATTTGATTAACTTACGTTTGCACTGTCCCTTTGGTTCAGATATAGCATCACCATAGTAACCGGGTAAACAGTCTTGACAATAATATCCAGCAGTATTATAGATACACTTCAAGCATTCACCTGTTAAACTGATAATGGAAACAAATTGAGATATCACACAAGAGACAGACTAAGTATCTTGACTTCAACAAACAAGATTCAATGTGCTAAGTTCATACACCTCAGAGGAAATCAAATTCCAGGCCATTGCAGTAAACTCCAGTCCCATATTATTAACATTCCAAGCCATTTTAGTTGTAATTTTCAAGTTGATGCAAAACAAATGTTCATTCAAGTTTCACCCAAACAATGTCAATATTTTCCATTTAAAGGATGCAGACTCCTTGGAGATAGCCAATTAAGCACACATTTGAAAATCAAATTCTCAGTGTTGAGAATGAACCTCCAAGCTGTCCATTTAACACAACACGAGTGATGTCTGCAGTCAGAGATATGAACTTATCCATGCCATCAGCGAATTAGAAATAAAAAGTAATTAACTAGCAGTCTGTCGGCTGATATAGCTCTGCTGTTTGTGAAGCATGCTCTAAAAGCAATAACTAAGAAGCAATTTATATTTAATGCTAGCTGCTTTAATATCGCAAGACACCAACTTTCTTGATTTTGTTGCAGAGAATTAAAGATATCTTTACGAAATGGAGAAATCTAATAGAGATCTACCCAAAAGAATTTGGACTACTAGTTTTGAAGGACAAAATATGTTTATTTTGATGAAAAATGACGAAAATATTTGCTAAAAATAGAGAATTGAAGATGTTGACAGGAAGTGAACAAATCTGACAGAGGTCCACCCAAGGTGCCTACAAATAAATTTACAAAACAATCAGGTTAGAGGTTTTCAAGGAAAAGTTGAAAATAATGTTTTTGACCAAAAATGACAAAAATATTCACCAAAATTAGATAATTGAAAATATCATCATGGAATGAACAAATCTGAGAGAAGTCCACCGAAGGAACCTACACACCAAGTTAAGCATTTGGGCTAGCGGTTTTCAAGAAGAAGTCGAAAATAGTATTCTTGACCAAAAATGGCAAAAATATTTGCTATAAATAAGACAATTGAACATATCCACACGAAATGAACACATCTGGAAGAGAACCACCCAAGGAACCTTCCTAGAAAGTTTCACAGCTATACAGCTGGTGGGTTTTAAGAAGAAGTTGAAAATGTGAAGTTGACGATGACGACGACGGACAATCAGTAATACAGTATAAGCGACTTCATCGACAGGGAAGCAAAAAATGGAAACCTTGTAGATGCTATGGTGACTTACCCATCACAGTTAGCGACAGCATTAGAATCAATGTTACCATTACAGAGACATTCTCGACAAGGTTGTGGAGAACCAAAGTCACCGAGTGGATCACCATAGTAACCATCAGCACACATCTCACAACGGGTACCTGCAGAGTAATGCGATACAATTTAGGAACAAATCTTGAGTAGTAACTGTGTAACTTCTATAGAGAAACTGCAAATTATAGTTTCAACCAATGTGAGATTAACGAATACAGACATTGTCAATATAGCAACCTCCCACAGAGTGGATGTGGATTTGAATGGCTTACTGATTTTATTTCTGCTAGAAATTTTTACAATTTAGGCATTCATAAAGACAAAATTTTGCGAAAGTCACTGACCCTCCATGTCACATGACCTCAGAGAAATTTTAACTGCTACCAAAAATAAAAATTTTCACTGACTCACAAAATTCACAAACATTATTCTCTACTGAAAATAAAGATGTTTACAGTTTCATTCAAGGTTAAAATGTACTGGTTTGTGAAGAAAAACAATTTATTGCATTAAGCACTTTAATATAGTAAATTAAGCTTCATACAGAAAGGTTTTCAGTGAAGTTTCAGAATTTAGGTTATTGATGAAATATTGATGCACTTTGGTATATTCAAAATGGTAGTATATACCAAAATTGCAAGTCAACCATTTAAACTAAAATTCAGCCTCCAAACATAACATAACTCTGCATTCAGTATGAACAACTTACCTGTATATCCACTATCACAGTTTGTACAAACCACTTCACCATCCGGTATCTGTAAACACTCCCCATTATTGGGGCAAGGGCATTTAGTGCAATCATCTTCTGTCCCTTGTCTGGCATTGCCGTAGTAACCAGATTTACACTGTTCACAGTTATCACCCTGAGTGTTGTGTTCACATAGACATGCACCTGGTAATTGCACAGAAACAGTGTCAGCATCCATAGGATTCATTTCAATATGTACATAATTTGGTAGAGACAGTTTTATAGCAAGTCTGTGTGATTTTCAATCATTCATCATCACACAAATCAAGGAAAATACACTGAAATACAGAGCTGTGATTTTGTTTCTATGGTTATCAATATATAATTCTGCTTTTCAGTATTAGAGTCTTGAGTAAAAGAAAAATATTGTTATCTAAAAAATTGTTTGGAGTCATAAATGACATTTTCACGTGTTTATGTTACACATACTCAGGTGTTGTCAACTAATGATACACTAATGACATAACTCAGAAGCAGCGCCCTCATTGTTGATTGTCTGAATATTTGAATGATATACTTATGACATCATTACTAAAAACTAGCGCCCTCAGTGTTGATTTTGCAGAAATACTAAAACAGACTTTACTTTAATAAATATACTGACCAGTTAAAACATCACAAGCAGAAGAATGTCCATTACACTCGCATGGTATACATCTACTAAAGGCCCCTGAGTTGGGATTTTCTCTTCGATATCCAGCGGCACAGTCCTCACAGAATTGTCCAACATACCCGTCAGGACACTGACATAACTCTACCCAATCAACTTCATCGAAGCCTGACGAGCTGCCTGCTGTCGCCAGTTTAACATTATCAAGAAATCCCACACCTGTGAATAAATAGTATTACATCCATAAATCAATTAGAACATGGTCATATTTTTGGTGGAACATTCCTCATTTTGAGACAACTTGACACTAAAATTATAGAACTCTGTTTGGTTATCTAAAATTACATTTAAAATTTACATTTAAAAACATACTATAGAAAAAGAAAATTATATATATGCATATATATATATATATATATATATATGCATATATATATATATATATATATATATATATATATATATATATATATAAAAATTCAGTAACATGTACTAATAAATAATGTGAAATTAAAAATGAGAGTTCACCTCTATCCTGGTATGTAGCTCTTATTTTAATAGCAGTTAGTTCAGTGAGCATCCGTTGCATTTCAAAAGCTGATAATGTGGGGCGCCAACCATAGGACGGATCCTGGTGCAATCTGAATAGGAAAATACAATTAAGTACACATCACTGATTTCTGATAGCACAACAATTCTTGTAATGCCAAAGAAAGTAATGCAAATAGGTCATTTAAGGTAGCGAGACTATTATTTGTGTTGAAAATTACGATTTTCACATTTATTTATTAATTGATGAAATGCACTATAAACTTTCATCTGACAAAGTCAGCGTAACCTAGAATGTCATGTAAGTTGGTTAAAATGTAGATTTTCTGAAGGGAAGCAAGGCAGCTTCAGTAGTGTTTTCTAAAATCAACAACACAGGTTTAATTTGTGTGCCTATATGTTTCAAAGATTAACTCAAGACAAAGCAATGTTAGGATGTGTTATCAGTAGCTATCTGACACACAATGAGTGTTTCCAAACATTTGAGTGGTTTGTCTTGGCCCCCGTTTATTTCACTGATTAGTCATTTGCATATGAATGTGTCAGACACAAGGTCACACAGCCACTGAAAAAAAATCATTGATTTTAGTGTTTTCATTTGCCGTTTTATCGAACTATAGCTATCCCATTCCTTTATTTTTTTGGGTTTCCAATAGCCTTACACATTTGGATGCCCCTACACATGGTAAAACAGACCTTGATGGGAAAATAAATCGCTTGTGCAATTAAACAAGCTTGAAAATCTTTGCTGTGACTTCATCAACGTTTTCTAGGAGTTTATGTTTTTTAAAATACAAGGTCTTTAACAAAAAATAACGTATACTTATTGTCGTCGGATTAACACCAAATTTTCACAGCTTTAAGGTGACAATGAGAGGAACTTGAATGTGTCCAGACAAACTATTTCATAGATTATTTACCAATGTGTTGTGGTTTGAGTTGGGGTCAATGTGACTAAAACAGAAATTAAAATTCAGGACACTACGCGTTAATCAAATAAAACTGACCAGACACATTCAATTTACCAGACTATTGAACAACTAGGAAAAGTGAAAACAAAACTTCTTATCACCAGCATAAATGCGTAATTATTTTTTTTACAAAAAAAGTAATTTTTCACTTTTGATTAAGTAACGCACCGTAGAATGCAGATACGGGCATGACAAACACACCTTTGAAAAGCTTGAAGTCTGGCGATTCCAAAAATATATACTTTCCTGGGTCTATTTGTAGTCATTTGGTCCCAATTAAAATATGAAAACAAGTATGCAAATAATAGTCCCGCTACCTTAAAGGTTGGGATAAGATTGTGATCAGTCAAACTAATGTGAGGAATACAGGTATTTTTCTGGACAAAATTGAAAGATTTTGCTTTTACTCCCGAGACTTTGCCCTCAAAATACCCATAATCCTTTATGATAGAACAGTTTGGCTGAAGATGATACTACTCTCAAAATGAACTATTAACAAATATTCAACTAAATTACACAAAATAGTCAGAATAGAAAATCAAGCACAATAGCAAAAGCATTGACTGTCAGGTAATCCCTGGGACAAATATTGGTACGGAATATGTACTATCATATAACATATGACTATATCTAAGCTTTCAGAGGATGTAAAGGTTGTTAAAAGTAAAATGGTTTTACTTTTAGAGATGTCTGAATCACAGATAAATTTTTAAAATGTTTTACCTTAATACTAGTAGGCAGATTTGCGACACAAACAATCATATTAACCCCAAGCAAGCAATTATTATTGATTTTTACCTATACTTGTATTCTTGTATTACTGTAGACGGTTGTGGATTTCCTTGCGCAGTCAACGGCAGAGTGACGGAATAACCAGCACCCTGGATTATAAGATCTTCATATAGATGGATTTCATCATCATCATTATCAACACGAAATGTAAAAGACAATTCTTGACCATAACTGAATCTTTGATTACCCAACATTTCATCTAAAAAAACAAAAACAAATATTTCATACTTGGGTACTATCGTTGAATTTGTAAGTTGGGAAAGGACTAGTAATGTAGCTACAGGTCTATAGGCTCAGCAAATATAAACTTATCTCAAGCGAACGTTTAAGGACCTTCTTTAAACATTATCGATGTAACAAAAGACATAAAATACAAAGATTAATATCCATTGTATAATCATTCATAAACATTCATAAAGCTCTGAATTTTGCAGATGTGTTTACAAAATGTTACTAAATTAAGTTTATACATATATTTGCAAAGCAAGAGAGAGCAACAACTCATTGTTTGAAATAATTAGGTATGCTGGCTTCTCTTTACAAAGAGAAACTTGAATAATATTTAGAATATATTACATGAGAGCATGTAATGAAATGTTCTAGTTGGCTTATTCGTGGTACTATTGTTCGACTTGCATGGTTTCACTGAACCCTAACCACTCATGGCCGTATTCACAAACCTGTGTGGGTGATCGTGTTAGGAAAAGCTAAATTATCAGTTAAACTGAATGATTTGATTGGACATTTATTAATGAGATGAATCCATCCAATAAGAATTCTCGTAATAACAACACAAATCTATTTCAAATTTAAATTTACAGATTTTGTTATTTTGTATCACCTCATGCTTAAAGTGGGAAGGTGAAGATTACCAAACATGCTAAAATCGCAATAGCTCATTGGTAGACGCTTTTGTAAACAATGACACAATATTGACATCTGATGCCTGCGCAGGTGATGACTCCTCCACTTTAACTAATGAAAATATACGACTTTGCGTTTGATTTCTCATTGAAATGGATCACAACACACACTTTTGTGATCCATTTTCAATAGAAATGCATCAGAGCATGCAAGGTTTGATTTTGTCAAGAGTGAATACAGGTTTCATAGAGGGGAATCTGCCAAGACTTCACAGTTTTTATTTGAATAATTTTGGACTGGATGAACATAATTTATTACAAGTCTTGATCTAATTTTTAAAAAATTAGGAAAAAATTATATGGGTTTCAAATATGAATTGTAAACAAAAGTTGAAAGAGTTAAACACAGTGGACAAAGAGAGATTACTTATTAAGTGACAACTATATTATTGTTTAATTTTCAAGGTACAAACTTGGAAAACATCAGTGAGAGGTATGAAAGAAGTCAGAGCTGTCTAACGCAGTACTAGGAAGTAAGTTATGTGCATGTCAATAATGATATGAATTCAACTCACCAGGTGCAATAAAGTAATATGGATATAAATCGGGAGCTTGGGCACGAATAGATTTAGTGAGGTCAATCCATGATAACGCTTGGTCATCTCCTCTGCTGTCCTCTACAGTCCAGCCTTCAGCTCCTGGTGAAATAATTAACATTCAAAACTTTTTGAAGGATCTTGCATTGGTTGGTAGTCAATAGAAAAGTCACTAAATGACCTGGACTCGCATGTTGCATATAGACATCTAGTTTATACCGCACCATTAATTTATTTTCATGGACAGTATTATACAGAACCAGAGGTACATTACTTGGGGTTTGCAACAAGGGTGACATGATACCAAGATCCCGTTTCAATCTCGATCTCGCATAAACGTTCCAACTCAGAAAAAATGCGAATGCGCATGCCCGAGGTAACTAGGATACTGGGATGTCCAGCTGGATCAAAATAGCTGCTCAAGATATGACGGATTACGATAACTATATTTTCTGTACATTTTCGATGTATTACATTTTTTCACTATGAATGTGGTAATACATGTTTTATTGATTATTACAAACAGTCTATTTCATGTCAGAAGGTTGTAGCCTCAGTCTCGCTATCTACGAGAAGAGACTTGAATGGGATCTTGACATGATGTCACCATACAGTACTATGTGCGTTGCAAACCCCAAGTAATGTACCTCTGACAGAACCCATCAGGTGAGAGAATATATCACATCCAAGAATATTTTCCACAGTAAGATTTGCATACTAATTTGTGGCCAGAGATAGTTAGAAGCAATGTCCAAATCATTGGAGTTGTCAGAACTATATGGATCTGAAACTTGCAAAAGGTGACAAAAGAAAACTCAATAAAGAGGATACTGAAGGTAAACAGGCAAGATCATGTTAGGATTGAAGAACTACTAACCAGGAATGGTATGGAGAAACTGAGTGCTATAATAGTAATGAAGAGGAGATGGAAATTTATTGGGCACACCTTAAGAGAGAATTCTAGAAGTATATGTAACACAGAATTAACATTGGCCCAGAAGGGAAAAGGAAACAGGGTAGACCCAAAACAACTTGGCGATGCATTGTTGAAAAGGAAAGAGACAAGGCTGGATGAAAGCCAGAGTCGCAGCAGTTGATAGAACACGTTCGATGGAGGCCCTATGTGCCACTAGAATCTGGAGGATAGATAGAAATGTACAAATGAACAGAGCCTCCATCTACTTCAGCTTGTTATCAGGTTGAGATGTAACTTACCTGAATCAAATGTATACTCTAAGAAATTCGGTGTGAATCCAGAGGCTGAGGTACAGACTGAAGCATGTCCATAACAAAAACATGCACTACATCCAAATTCATTATCCTCTCGTAGATTGAAGTAACCTGGTTTACATCTGTAATGCAAGCACATTGCAACAATGAGACACACCAAGGGTGAATAAACACAAGGGCAGGCAATTTCCACCATGAGGAATGTGTTGAAATTTATTGTGAAAAATCAAGAAGACCACAACATGCTACAATCTACACGAATGATAAATGTATGCTGTGAAGAGAACGAAGCAATAAAGCAGTAAATGCTGTTTTTTACTCAGTTTAAAACATATATGCTCTATGAGTAAGCATAAATTTGCATGAAAGCGCACGTTTTTGCCAAAAATAAAGTTGTATTTTGACTATAATAGTATTTTATTTGCACATACAGCGAGAAACACAAATGTTGGAAAATAAAGTATGTAGAACAATAAAAATCACTCAAAGGGACTCATAGTGACGTACACAACGTGTGTAAAATACATTGATTATTTACATTTAATAATTGTATGATGCAATGGGTATTGGGTTGAATATCAAATGTATAGCGATTATACAAAGGTGTCCTAACAAAGGTGTTGTCATTCATCGTCTTTTTTCACACACAGAAAGATGTACCATAAAACATTGTCGTGTTAATTGAGTATGATCAGTATGAAAAAGATGAACTTACTTGTCACAGTTAAGACCTTCCACATTTACTTTACAAGTACAAATACCAGTATCAGGCCTGCATCTTGGATCATTATTTAAACTTCCACCAATTGTACATGCACATGGCCTGAAAAGTTAACATTGAAGAGCTGGGTTCACACTAATCATTAATTTATACACTGCAAAATAATTTATTTTAGTTTAGAATTAATTTTCACTGTCAATGAAAATAAAATCCAGTGCATACACCTTTTTTCTATATTTTACATTCAACTCATCAAAAAACAGTGAAAATAAAATCCATACATTCATACAAGACACTCAAGTCTATTTGGCAAAAATGAATTCCAGCTAAATTGAAGTATTTTACAAAAGCCAGAAAAAACAACTAAGGTGCAATTTTCCAAGCTTTGACCAAATATCACATTTTTCATTATTTTCTATAATTTCATTATTGGTTTTGAACCAGATGAATGTAAAATTTAATTACCAGGTCTTGATCAAAAAATATAAAATTAAGGCAAAGAAGTTAAAAATCACTAGTATTCAAATTTGAACAAGAAAAACACAAGATTAATTTATATCAAGTCCAGACTTTTCCCATATCCTTCACAGTCACATTTACAGAATTCCGTTAAAACTATTACTAGTAGACAAAGTTTGCTTACCTGCAGCCAGTGACAGAAAAGTCATAGAAATCTGGCATACAATGCACACATTTCTCACCGGTTACCCCTGGTTTACATATACAGCGACCTGTTTCATCACACTGAGTTGTCACCGATCCTACAAATGGACAAAAATGACTTGAAATATATAAAATACAGCTACCATTTTTGATACAGTATCACCATTTTCACATTTTTGTTTTTTTACTACTTAAGTGAAATTTCCAACACCACTGTAAAATACTTTATTTTAGCTGGAATTAATTTTCACTGAAAAGACTTTTTAAGTGTTTTGTATGGAATTAAATTTCACTGATTTTTGATGAGTTGAATGTAAAATACAAAAAAAAAGGTAT